GTCCTCACTGGTCACGCAGACGCTTCTTGGGCTGAGGACCACGCTACGCAGCGGTCGTCACAGGGTTACACCTTCAGCCTTGGCTCCGGCTCTGTTTCGTGGCGGGCTACTCGCTCGTCTTCTGTTCTCGGTTCCAGTTGTGAGGCTGAGATCTACGCAGGGGCCATGGCTGCTCAGGAGCTTCGCTGGCTCACCTACCTGCTGACCGACCTTGGAGAGCCGCCTCGTTCTCCTCCAGTCCTGTACGTAGACAACAAGGCCATGCTGGCCTTGTGTCAAGAGCAGAGACTGGAGCACAGAACAAAGCACATTGCTCTCCGCTACTTTCTTGCTCGTGAGCTACAGCAGCGTGGTCAGTTGCGGCTTGCGTACATGGCCTCTGAGGCCAACACTGCTGATGTCTTCACCAAGGCACTTGCGCCTTGTGATCATCAGCGCTTCTGCACCCAGCTGGGTCTTGTACCTGTCTTGCCTCACTTGCTCACCTCTTGACCTTGCTTGTACTGTTACATATATATATACCTGCTCTTGCTTGTCTAGCCTTATATATATATGTACTCTTGCATGTGAACTGGCCTTGTGGCCTTGAACTTGTGCTCGGAATGTGTGGTGACTTTGTGATCCACCCTGAGCTTGCTTTGCTTTGCTTTACTTGACTGGTCTTTTGACCCCTAGTTCTCCCCCACTTCGCCTATGGGGGTGTGTCAAACATTATATATGTTGTGCTTGTTTAGGCTACAGTGGGTTAGCCTATAGGGGGTACACAATTCTAGGGTTAGGTACTTGTACTGATTTCACTGTTAGTTCAATCATTCCTGTTCGTTCATTTCAACATGGGGAGTCGATCCACGAAATCGAGGGCCCTCCCGGGAGCTCGATCTCGCCCACTGTATCAGCGCATCCGTTGACTCGGCTTCTTGGACGGCGTCGTTGAAGCTGCGTGGCCGCGTTCATCTGACCTCGTACTGTATTTCATATTTCAGGCCCGCCACGTAGCGATCCAACCGCTCCACATCGCTCATGTCGTCCACTTGGTCCGCCAAGTTGCAGAATGTGCTGGTATATTCTTGGACCGAAGTCAGCTGCTTGCAGGCACGCAGCTTCATGCGAGCAGAGTCCGAGGCGGATATGTGCTTGAACCTGGTTTGCAAGGCGGCGCCCCACTCCCTCCACGTGCGTATTGTAGCCATCCCAAAAATTGATGCTGCTCGTTGCGTGACAGGTGTCGAAGTCCCGTCGTTCGCACGTGCTATTCCTGCCGAAGTCCCTTCGTCCTGCAGCGTTCGCCTCCACCACTCCAGCGCAAGTCCTCGCAACAGTGAAACTGCGAAATTAATGCGGGTGGCATCGTCATTAATCATAGCGGCATTAAAAAACACCTCCACTCCGAACAACCATGCAGACACAGTGACGAACTTGTCACTTGGGTAAAACTGGGGCGGGTTTGTCGGCTTGATTTTGACAGTTGTTGAAGCCATTAATGCTGCATGAACTGTTGGCGCTGCTGCTGTCGTCGCCGGAGCTGTCGCTGTTGCACGTGTCGGTGCTGCATGCGACTGTTGCGGCGACTGTTGCTGCTGTGCCTGCCTCGCATCATCCGCATCCATGGAGCCTTCCAATTCGCTCCAGACCCGCTCGTCTGGGGTGGAGCTGCTACTTGCTTCCTCAACGACAGGCGACTCCTGGCGCGCTTCACCACGCGCCTGGAGTATTTCGGCGTTTTCCTTCCGTAGACGCTCCATCTCTGCAGTCATGCCCTGCAAGTTGGCCTTCATCGTACGGAACTGTTGCATGAACTTGTTAAACTCGGCCTGCTCCATGTGCCTCAGGCTTCGTCGAACGGGCAGGGGGTGGCTAGCGATTTTTCTGACTTCGGTAAATGCTATCGTAGTTGGAGTGGAATAATCGTACCGAACCAGCGCCGAGTCGCCTCGCACCAATCGCGACACTTCCAAGCCTCGCACGTCCCGAGTTCCTTGCCTACCACGGTTTCGACCCTATAGATGCTTGCTTCTTTATCATTCTTGGCACTCAGTAATTCTCATCCTTTTTGTAAAGTCTTCCGCGCACTCTTCTTAGTACAACTCTTAACACTTGGTAATTATCGGAAGGAAAGTTCCGAGAAACTTACTCTCGATAAGGTCAAATTCAGGGACTACGGAGTCGATACTCTGTTCAGTCAGGGTCCACTAACAGGCTAGTATGTTATACTGTATTCAAAATCAGGGATAGCTAAACTATTACTCTGATTGGATTTGGGTTGAGAACTCGTTAACTCTGAAATTTCAGTCTCCACAAATTGGAAAGCTTGAAATCACCCTGAAATCAGGGTAATTACTCTGATAAAATCAGCCCTGGCTCCTCCTCACCTGCTCCTCTGCCTCCTCATCAACACGTTGACGAATGCCTTAATGTGCACGATGTCAGAACTATACTGTAGGCTATAGTGGGGTAGACAATATGGGGTACAACTCTTTAGGTTTCCATACTTGTACCCACCTGCTTCCTAGTTCATTCATTCTTCGTTATTTTTCTCACATGGTATTAGAGCAGAATCGTTCCTAGGGCCCACCGAACGTTCCGCCTTGCCCTAACTGATTTATTTTTTTTTTAGGTGTTTTTGCAGCCGCGCTGCCCTTGCAGCCCGCGTGATGCCTCTGCGGCTGTGCTGCCCCTGCAGCCGTGCCTGCCCTTGCGACCGTGCTGCCCCTGCAGCCGTGCCTGCCCCTGCAACCCATGGGCGCTGCCTCTGCAGCCCGCGCGCCGCCCTACCGAGCCGCGTGTCGCCCCTGCAGCCCGTGGGCGCTGCCTCTGCAGCCCGTGCGCCGCCCTACCGAGCCGCGTGTTGCCCCTGCAGCCCGTGGGCGCTGCCCCTACGACCCGCGCGCCGTCCTGCCGAGCTGCGCGTCGCTCCTACTCGTCGCGACGCCCTGTAGGACCCGCGCGGCGTCCCCCCCTGCTCGTCGCGGCGCCCCCTGGATGCCGCCCCTACTCGTCGCGGCGCCCCCGGGGCGTCGCCCCTGCTCGTCGCGGCGCCCCCGGGGCGCCGTCCCTGCTCGTCGCGGCTCCACCTCGACGTCGCTCCTACTCATCGCGACGCCCCTGCGGGACCCGCGCGGCGTCCCCCCCTGCTCCTCGCGGCGCCCCCTAGACGCCGCCCCTGCTCGTCACGGCGCCCTCGAGGCGTCGCCCCTACTCGTCGCGGCGCCCCCGGGGCGCCCTCCCTACTCATCGCGGCGCCCCCGGGGCGTCGCCCCTGCTCGTCGCGACGCCCCTACAGGACCCGCGCGGCGTCCCCCCCTGCTCGTCGCGGCACCCCCTGGACGTCGCCCCTGCTCGTCGCGACGCCCCCTGGGCGCCGTCCCTGCTCGTCGCGGAGCCCCCTGCAGCAGCTGCCGCGGAGCCCCCTGCAACAGTCGCGGCCCCTCCCTGCAGCAGTTGCGGCCTCACCCTGCAGGAGCTACCGCGGAGCCCCCTACCGCAGACGCGGCCCCGCCCTGCAGCAGCTGCCACGGAGCCCCCCTGCCGCCGTCCCGGCCCCGCCCTGCCACTGTCGCCGCCCCGCTCTGCAGCTGTCGCGACCCTACCGTCGCCGCCGTCGTGCGCCTGCCCTGCTCACCCGGCGAGCGCTTGCCCTTCCCGCCACTGGTGAGCACCTGCCCTACCCGCACTTCCCGCGCGCCTACCTTACTAGCGCGCTGCCTGCCTGCCGCGCCTGCCTGCCAGGGGAGCCGCGCCGCCCAACTGAGCCGCGCTACTCAGCCGCGCCGAGCCACCCAGCCGAGCCGCGTCGTGCCGCCGAGCTGTTCAGCCCTGCTCCACTGAGCCTCACTGCTGCTACTGCTGTTCCTGCTGTTACTGCTGCTACTACTGCTACTACTGCTGCTGCTGCAACTGGCGGTGGCCAGATGCAGCTTTAGCGACGTCCGCGCGAGTCTCTCACGCCCCAGCAGCTTCGTGAGTGGTACGCTATTTGGGGTTGTGGCAGTGGCCGTAGTGGCTGTCACCCTGGAGCTGGTCAGTCGGGAACGTCTGGCAGTGGCCAGATGTAGCTGCAGCGGCGTCCGCGCGAGTCTCTCACGCCCCAGCAGCTTCGTGAGTAGTACGCTAGTTGGGGCTATAGCGGTGGCCGTCGTGGCTGTCGCCCTGGAGCTCGTCAGTCGGAAGTGTTTGGCAGTGGCTAGATGCTGTCGCGATATATATTTATATATGTTTATAACTGCCTATAGCTTTAGCTTTGGTGTAGTTATGTTTCCCTGTTGGTGGTGCACCTTTGCTAGTTTGCTATATGTACCTTGTGTGCTATCGTGAACAACACACATTCTTCAATTCTCCTTGGTGACAACCACCTCGACACTCGCTTGGCCTAGGCTACTAAGCCTAGGCCCTTAGTAGCGTCCGTTTTGCCCCGTGCATCACCAGTTTTCTCACCCGCGCTTCACTCGTTCTCTGCCCCGTGCTTAGCTCGCCAGCCCACTAGCGCGCAGCAGACGCATGCGCACGTGCAATCGTAGCCGCACATGCGACCGCGCGCACGTGCATCATTAGCCGCATGCACGTGCAGCATTAGCCGCACGCACGCGCGGCATTAGCAGCACGCACGCGCGGCCATAGCTGCACGCACGCGCAGCAATAGCCGCTCGCACGCGCAGCTCGTCAGCTGCGCTACCGTCTCATCCGTCCCCGCTGACCCACCTGGTGCCCGCTGTACCACCCGTTCCAGTCACCTCACCTTGAAGTCAGCCGCCCCACCAGCTACTTTACCCCGCCTAGAACCGTACAGCACCGCGGAGAATCGGGAATGAAGGGGACGACGTCCTTGGCGATCGTCGCGGCCCTTCCCCCCCCCGTCCCGCTTTCTTCCCTCCCGTCGCCTCGCTCCGCCCGTCGCATTCCCCCACCCCCCTGCCCGTCACCCCCCCCGTCGCGACTGTTCGCGTGTGCAGCGGCGGTCGCTGTGGGTGGGAGAGGGAGGAGGGGAAGGGATTGGCGGTGGAACGCTATGGGGGAAGAGGGAAAGGGGGAAGGGAGTGGCGGCGGAATGCTGTGGGGGAGAGAGGAAAAGGGGGAAGGGAGTGGCGGCGGAACACCAGCACTAGCACCAGGCACCAGCACCGGCACCAGCCCCCAGCACCAGGCACCAGCGCCAGCCGCCAGCACCAGGCGCCAGCGCCAGCCGCCGGCACCAGGCACCAGCACCAGCGCCAGCCGCCAGCACCAGGCACCAGCACCACCGCCAGCACCAGGCACCAGCACCAGCGCCAGCCGCCACCACCAGGCACCAGCACCAGCGCCAGCCGCCAGCACCAGGCACCAGCACCAGCGCCAGCCGCCAGCACCAGGCACCAGCGCCAGCACCAGGCACCAGCACCAGCGCCAGCCACCAGCACCAGGAACCAGCACCAGCACCGAAGCCAGTCACCAGCACCAGCATTGGCACGAGCGCCGTTACGCCAGCACCAGCCACCAGGACCAGCGCCAGCCGTCAGGCACCAGCACCAGTGCCAGCCGCCAGCACCAGGCACCAGCACCACCGCCAGCCCCCAGCACCAGGCACCAGCGCCAGCCGCCAGCACCAGGCACCAGCACCAGCGCCAGCCGCCAGCCGCCAGCACCAGGCACCTGTGACCAGCAGCCCCACCTGTGACCAGCAGCCCCATCTGTGACCAGCAGCCCCACCTGTGACCAGCAGCCCCACCTGTGACCAGCAGCCCCACCCGTGACCAGCAGTCCCACCTGTGACCAGCAGCCCCACCTGTGACCAGCAGCCCCACCCGTGACCAGCAGCCCCACCTGTGAAGAATTGGACAGGGACCATCGTGGGTGGGGAGGGGTCTGGAGGAAGAAAAGGGGAGAGGGAGTGCGGTTCCAGGGGGCGGTTCAAATGGGGGGTGAGGTTATAGGGGGTTGGTTGATTGGGGGTGGGGATGTGGGGGTTAGTAAGAGGGGACCCTGCGGCCACCCCCCCACCGCCACTCCTCATCCCCCACTCAACCTCCCCTGTGTAAAAGGGGGTTAGTAAGAGGGGACGCCACGGCCACCCCCCCACCTCCTCTCCTCATCCCTCACTCACCTCTTCCTTTGTTCTTATCTCCTCTCCTCTCCTGTCTCTCTCTCGCCTCCTCCTCCTCGCTTACTTCTCCACAGTCTTTCACAACACCTGCAATACCCCTTCAGGGGGTGTGACTTACTCTAGCTATGTGCTGCAGGCAGTTAAGGGGGTGTGTTGTGATATATATATGTTTATAACTGCTTGTAGCTTTAGCTCTAGTGTAGTTATGTTTCCTTGTTGGTGGTGCACCTTTGCTAGTTTGCTATATGTACCTTGTGTGCTATAGTGAACAACACACATTCTTCAATTCTCCTTGGTGACAACCACCTCGACACCCGCTTGGCCTAGGCTACTAAGCCTAGGCCCTTAGTAAACCCCGGTTCCTAGTTATCTTAGTATTGTAACAGATGTAGCTGAAGCAGCGTCCGCGCGAGCCACTTACGTCACAGCAGCCTCGTGAGTGGTACGCTCAGAGTAGAGGGTCTCGGAGTACCGTTCGCTGCCCGTACGTCATTCGCACAGGTGATTGGGCTGGTCAGGCTTGCGAGACGGTTGGTCACACGCAGTCCCGCTGCTTCGCCCGCCTGAGCGACGCCTGGCATACCGAGTTTGGCGACGAGGCTAAGCTCCCCACCTGGCTGGAGCTGCTTAGGCAGAAGGTAGATATCTTTGCTCTTGACTATGTATGCATTGCCTACTAGTGCTGAGGGTGTCGGTTACCTGTGTGTGCCGCCTGACCCAGGTATAGAGTCTGCTGCTCTAGGTGCTGGTGAGGCTGCTGCTCTAGGTGCTGGTGCATCTCCTGCTCCAGGTGTCCGTGAGGCTGCTCTTCTATGTGCTCGTGAGTCTACTGCTCCAGGTGTTGGTGGGTCTGCTCTTCCTAGTACTACGCGTGCTGCGGCCTTGCACACTTTCACCCTTGACTCAGGTGCTTCTCGCTCCTTCTTTCGCGACTGCACCACACTCTCGCCGCTCAGTCGGCCAGCGGCAGTCTCTCTGGCTGACCCCTCTGGAGGTCCGGCCCTTGCACACTCCTCCACGGTTCTGCCGTGTCCGACGGTCCCGTCTGGCTCTCTGTCTGGCCTCCACCTCCCCTCGTTCTCCACGAACTTGGTGAGTGGAGCTGACCTTCAGGACTCGTGGGTTGACCAGTTCACTCATGGAGGTCAGCGGGTGACCCACTGTTCGTGAACTCGGACGGGCCGGCACCAGGCCACGTTCACCCGTCAGACTGGGTCGAGCCTGTACACCTTGACTATCATGTCTCCTCCGGTTGCTGAGTCTAGTCAGGTAGCCGCGTCGGGTCAAGTATTTGCTGCAACGTCCCGGTCTGGTCCTGAGTCTGCCCCCTGCCCGTGTCGCCTCCTGTCTCACCAGACTCTCCTCTGGCACCACCGCCTTGGACACCCCTCCCTGCCTCATCTCCGAGGCATGGCCTCCCGTGTCCTTATCACTGGTCTTCCCCGGTCTCTCCCTCCCCTCCCCCCGGGGCCTGCCCCTACCTGCGTTCCTTGCGTCGAGGGGCGGCAGCGCGCCGCTCCTCACTCCTTCGAGTTCCCTCCAACGGAGGCTCCCTTGCAGACTCTTCACATGGACGTGTGGGGCCCAGCCCGCGTCCGTGGACAGGGTCACGAGCGTTACTTTCTGCTGGTCGTTGACGACGACTCGCGTTACACCACAGTCTTCCCCTTGCACCGCAAGGGTGAGGTCACTGAGGTGCTGATCGACTGGATACGCGCTGCCCGTTGTCAGCTCAGCGAGAGTTTCGGCTCGGACCTTCCTTTTCTGCGTCTGCACTCCGACAGAGGTGGAGAGTTTTCCTATGACCTTGTGAGGATCTAGGATCGAGCTCAGAAATAAGAGTTTGAATTGAATGATCACCTGTGTACAACACGAGGCTATATATAGGCTCGACACAAGGCCCCGTAACCAGGTGTCTAACAGTGAAATGAGTACAAGTACCTAACCCTAGAATTGTGTACCCCTATAGGCTAACCCACTGTAGCCTAAACAACCACAACATATATATAATGTTTGACACACCCCCATAGGCAAAGTGGGGGAGAACTAGGGGTCACAAGACCAGTCAAGGCAAGCAAGGCAAAACAAGCTCAGGGTGGATCTCAAGGATACCACACCAATTCCGAGCACAAGCAAGTGGTCACAAGACCAGTTCACATGCAGGTTTATAATAGAGAAAAAGGTACAAGGATCACAACCTAGCAAGAGTAAACATGCAGGTATATATATAAAGAGATCACAGTACAAACAGACTCAAGAAGTAAGCAAGTGAGGTCCAGTAGGCACAAGGCCTACAAGAGTGCAAAAGCGCTGATGGTCACAAGGCTGAAGCGCCTTGGTGAACACATCAGCAGTGTTGGCCTCAAAGGCCACGTAACGCAGGCGAAGCTGACCACGCTGCTGCAGCTCTCGAGCAAGGAAGTACCGCAGAGCAATGTGCTTCGTTCTGTGCTCCAGTCTGTGCTCCTCACACAAGGCAATGGCTGCCTTGTTGTCGACGTACAGCACTGGAGGAGAACGAGGCTGCTCTCCAAGGTCGGTCAGCAAGTAGGTGAGCCAGCGTAGCTCCTGGGCCGCCATGGCTGTGGCGTAGATCTCAGCCTCACAACTGGAGTTGAGAACAGAAGAAGAGCGAGTAGAACGCCAAGAAACTGAACCAGAGCCAAGACTGAAGGAGTAGCCTTGAGACGACCGCTGAGTAGCCTGGTCGTCTGCCCAAGAAGCGTCTGAGTGCCCAGTGAGAACAACTGGGACTCGCCCTCCAAGCACTAGCCCCATGCCCGACGTACTGCACAAGTAGCGCAACACCCTCTTAGCTGCATCCATGTGCTCCTTCCGGTGACGGCCGGGAGCGACATAGCGTGCAAGAATGCTGAGAGGGTATGCAAGGTCTGGTCGAGTGCAGGTCATCAGGTACATGAGGCAACCCACAAGCTCTGGATACGGGCCACTCGGCTCTACGGACTCATCCGAAGGCAGAGCTGAGAGCGAGTGACCGGTAGGCAGAGGAGTGGGCTGAGGCGAGGAGTACGTGAAGCGGAAGTGCTGAAGGACCTGCTGCACCATGTGTGACTGGGTCAAGGTGATGGTGCGGCGTGCTCTGTCCCGGGTGATCCGCAAGCCAAGATAGCTTGTCAGTTCACACAGGTCTGTGCACGTGTGTCTCTTCTGCAGTTCCGACTTCACGTGGGCAAGTGCCACAGTGTCAGCAGTAGCAAAGACCAAGTCGTCGACGTACACAAGGACGTAGAACGGTGGCAGTGAGGTGTCGGTGCGTAGAAACAGCGACGGGTCAGCAGTAGAAGGCGCGAGTCCAAGAGCCGCAAGCGTAGTCCTCAGTGTGTCGTGCCACTCACGAGGCGCCTGGCGGAGACCGTAGACTGGCCGTCGGAGGCTCCACTGGGTACCAGGAGGGAACGACCCAGTGAAGCCAGGTGGACGGCGCAGCCAGATCTCCTCATGCAGGCTGCCCTGTAGGAAAGCAGTGCTGAAGTCAAGCGAGTGGAGCTCGTAGTCACGCTGAGCGGCGACGTGCAGCAGAACCTGAAGAGTGGTCATCTTCGGGGTCGGGGAGAAGGTCTGGAAGAAGTCAACTCCCTCGTGCTGACTGAAGCCTCGTGCAACGTAACGCGCCTTGAAGATAGGCGGAGAGCCCGGCGGCCGCTTCACCCTGAAAATCCACATGCTACTGACAATGTTTGCCCCAGGTGGGGGAACTTCGTTGACGTAGGTGCCTGTGGACTTCCAAAAAGCCATCTCTGTGTCCATGGCCAACTGCCACTAAGAGGAGTAGGGACCGGCCATCGCCTCTGCGTAAGAGCGTGGGGTCGGGATGTCTGGTGCATCCGGGTCTCCCTCAGGGGCAACAAGCATGGACACGAGATGGGGCAAAGCGACAGCAAAGCACTCGAACTCCTCCTGCCTGTTCTCAAGGACGTCAGTGCCAAGAGCACACTCACCTCCGACGGACGGAGGACAGACAGACTCAGACTCAGCAACCAGGCTAGCAGCGTAGTCTAGACGACAGGTGGCAGCAAAGTCGACAAGCTCAGCAACTAAGGCAGACGCAGCAGCAGACTCAAAGGAAGGGTCAGTGACAACAGTAGCCAGAAGACGCGTGACAGTAGGAGTGGCAGCACGAAGAGAGTCTGACGCAGGGTCAGCAAGAGCAGGAAGAGAGGAAGCAGGAGGAGACGGCAGTGGGTCACGCTGTGGAGCAGTGGACGGACGAAGCGCCATCCGGTGAGTGCCTGGGACAGTAGGAAGACGCTGACGCTGGACACGACAACTAGAGAGAGCAGTGCGGACAGGCGACTCAGGACGAGACTCAGGCGACACAGGACGAGACTCAGGCTCACGACGCTCAGTAAGACCTCCAGTTGGACCAGTGTAAGGAGCAGGACCAGGGAGAGAGGAGGCAGACGGCAACTGCGACTGCAGCTGGACAGACGCAGGACACGCTAAGGAGGGAGGAGGACAAGGAGGAGGGAGCTGACCAAGAACCTGCTGAAGGAGCGGAACGAAGTACGGCCAGGACCGTGCAGCGACACCAGAGCCAGTAGGGAGACTTGCACCAGGGTCCGCAGCACCAGCAGCAGCTCGAACGCCCGGCTCCGCAGCACCAGCAGCAGCTCCAACACCTGGGTCTGCAGCACCAGCAGCAGCTCCAACGCCCGGGTCCTCAGCACCAGCAGCAGCTCCAACGCCCGGGTCTGCAGCACCAGTAGCAGCTCAAACACCTGGGTCCTCAGTACCAGCAGCAGCTCCAACGCCCGGGTCTGCAGCACCAGCAGCAGCTCCAGCGCCCGGGTCCTCAGCACCAGCAGCAGCTCCAACGCCCGTGTCTGCAGCACCAGCAGCAGCTCCAACACCTGGGTCCGCAGCACCAGCAGCAGCTCCAACACCCGGGT